CAGTATATATGTCCATACATGAATATATGACATATATTCAAACTTTTAGAAAATAATAATTGAATATACATGTAGTCAATCAATTAATCTTAGCCACAAAAATCGCTATAATTAAGTCAATTTTACAGCTGTTGAGCTAAAATCTGTTGCACCACATCACAACATCGGCACCATTATTTTCATGATTTCAGCACAATGGCTAACACTTTATCAACTTTCAACAGAAGACAATTTTATATAAAAACTCTGACTTGAAAGGTATTGGGAAATACACATTCCTTCAAGGTATGCAAGGTTTAATTTATTATTTTATTCAACAGTTTTTTTTATTGTAAGACTGTGAAAAAATTAGCCTGTTTTGCACGATGAAAGCAATAAAGGAGCTCTGTGGATTTGTGCTTTTGTACCAAATCTAACACTTTGCAGTCTTTAAAAGGTTTTGCTGTACGTTTGAGCATCTAACTCAATGTCAACTTGGTTTTGTGCTTATTTCTGAAAGACGCAAGCAAAAAAATAAATAAATAAAAAAAACACCTAGATAGACTGTCTAATTCCAGAGGTTAGAATTTATCATAAAAAGCAGCGGCACATTTTAAAAGAAAAGTTGATTCCCACTGGTGGATTTCAAGGAGAAAGCAAATACTTCTCCTCCATTAATAAACAGAGGGAGTTCTGGAGGGAAGCATTAAGGTGAGTGTTTTTGTTAATATCCATTTTGAATAATTTTAAAGTCCTACTTTAAGAAAATGCCTCTGCTCGTGAGGGAAAACCTCCATTATAATTCCAATTAAGGGACACAAAGGGAATCTGGAGTGCAGCATAATTTGTGTCCATCAAGTTTTGAAATGCTTCAAGGCTTTCTCATTTAGTCTTTGTCTGTGAAGTGAGTCTGCAATGCCAAAATCCAATATCATAACATTGCAGGCTAAAGGAGTTTGAGATGACGTGTCGACACCGGGCAAAAGAAATGACAAAGAAAAAAAAAGATTTATTTGAGCAAAGTAGTGATTGGACTTCATTTGACCATTTTTTAAAATTTCATATGATTTTTTATACATTCTTTTATGTTTCCCCAGAGAGATGCGAGTCAAATTTGAACACCTTGACAAGACTTGTAATATACAAATAAATAAATGAAGTGGGCAAAAGTGATTTTTTAAAATGATAAAACTAAAAGCAACTAATTTAAAAACTATAACTGTGAAGTACCAAAATGATCATGTCTATGGGGTGTCAATTGTAAAATAAAATATGAAAAAATGTCGCTAATGCATTTTGATTATTTAGCTCACTTTCTGAGTGTTAAAAACGTTCCACAAACATTTTATTGTAATGTTTTTAATTATGCCAATTTTGACTAAATGTTAAATTTAAATGTTAAAAAAAAGATTTAAATACTAAATGCTAAATCTAAATGTTAAGTTAAATGCTGAAGGTTATATATGAGTATTTCAGAATGGAATGCAGCCTTTGTCATTATCCTGAGAAAATAGCAACCGCTAATGCTTGAATGCTACTGACGCTGCTAAGGCCTCTAACGCTTCCTGACAAAACAACTTGCAGTTGCAGCTGGTTTTCGAGTTACAATTCAAACTTCTGGACCACAGGTACTATCCATTGTTCCCTATGAACACATTTCAAATTTAAATTTTAAATGCCATCTTCAGCAGAATTAGCAGCATTAGCTAACCAGGATGATGTCATCATCCTGTGACAAATGTCAACGCTAGCCACTGCTAACTGCTGCCAACGCTTCTAAACCTACTGAAGATGGTGTTTAAAATCTAAATTCTAAATGCTTTTGTTGAAAATAATATGGATGGTACCTGTAGTCTGGCAGTTTGAAGCGCAGCTCAAACTGCAAGCTTGATGTCCTGTAGGGAAGCGTTAGCAGTGTTAGCAGCATTAGCAGTTGCTTTTGTCTCAGGATGATGACATCATAACAAAAGCCGAACACTAACGGCAAAGGCTGAGTTCCATTTCAAAATTATTATACTTAACATTTAACATCAGTATTTATTATTTAGATTTACACATTTAGATTTAGGATCTATTATTTACTTGTATTTTGTAACGTTTAAATTTAACAACTACAAAAAAATTGCAGATTGTAAAAACTGTGAGCTAAATAATAAAAATGTGTAAGTGACTTTTTAACATTTTGTTTTACACTTTACATGTCAAATCAAAAAATCTTAAAGCTAGACAGAAATAACTTTAGGATATGAATATTTAGTTTTTCTATTGATAAATGACACCCAATGCAAGCTGCTGACCTTCCTCATCACTTACTTTATTTTAAATCTATTTAATGTCTACCTTGACAATATAATTCTTCTAAAACGAAAGAAAAACACTTCAAAGCGTATTTGAATAAAAAAAATGCCAGGATGTCAGTGACTTATTGCCTTTTTTTTGTTACACACATTACAATGCTGTTAAAGCTTTTAAAGATAGAGGCAGAGCGAAGTAATTACTTCAACATATGCATATTATAGCCCGGAGAGGGTCTTTTATAAAGTGAAACACATTTGCCTCAGGAAAAAAAGAATTATGAGCAATCCTGACAAACAGCAAAGTGTCACGAGCTCTAAATGCTTTTACCTGTACGCTGAATTTTATACAAAGACAAACAACGAAAACATGTTTCTCTAAAAGCAATTACGTGTGCAGCAAACATCCCGTTTTTCAGCACTTTTGTTTTCCTGCACTCTGCTGACACACACTTCCTGCTGCAGGGCCGTGTGGAAGACACTGCACTCTGTGCACGTGAATAAACAGGAGCTTTGACAGAATATTTTATACTTCCATGACCCGATGGAGCAGCAGTTCATGGAGGAACGCACGGAGCAACTCAGATTGCATTTCTTTCTCCCATTTAATCTGCCCTCCTTGTAAGAAAAACAGTGCTGTCAGCGAGAGCAAACAGTGACAGGAGGAATGATCGACTGAGGAGAATCAATCTGTGAGAAAAGCTGCTGGATTATTTCCACCTTAAGCTGGTTAAGGTCAGTGTGTACATCTGATATACTCTGAGTCTATGAAGAGACTGCATTATTCAAGAGCAGAGCAGCTCCTGGACACGGCTGGAAGAAGATGCGAGTTGCTTTATTTCAGCAGCATGAATTTGGATCTGCTCAAGGTGTTTTTTAGAGATGTTTTTTTTATTTATTTCTGAAGTCAAGAAAGGGGTTGAGTAAATAAAACAACAAACACATGCAGTTGTTTCTTTCAAATGTAGTCTTTAACATAACAAGTAAAGAAATAACTGTCTGAATCAACTGATTCATGTGATCTAGGCGTTATTACTGATGTTCTAAACACCAAGAGAAAACCTAAACTACACACCCTGCAGGAATAATTTACATTTTACTTTTCTTCTGTTGTACCTCATACTGAGTAATGATCCCGTAAGTCTGCGCTGGTTCTCTCCACTTCAGGATGATCTTCTCCTCATAGGGACTACCCTGAATGGACTCCAGAGGAACAGCTCCTGGGACTGGAAGAGACAAAAAAAATTTAAAAAATAAAAATCAAAACTGGGTTTTTTCACAGTATGGTATACGATTTTTTCATATTTATTGTGCAAATGCTTATAAAGCATTAACTTTGCTTCCACACACTTTTTGGCACCTAACTTCATCTGTAATTTTTGTGCTATTTCAACAATTCATTTATCAAAAATTTTCAACTCTATCAGGACCTTCCTGCTATAAATTTTAGTTTTTGTGCAATATTTTAAATATTTATACGTATTTTTTAGCATTTTCAACTGTGTTTTTTCCCTCATCTAAAACGAGTTTCCTCCGAAATCCTTCGAAACATTTGTGCCTTTGACAACCTTTTACTGCTCTTTTCACCTGTTGTTCTGGTGATACGTTTTTTTTTTTTTTCAGCTTGTTTGTGCCGATTTCAGCTCTCTTCAGCTTCTTTTGGCTAATTTCAGCTTTTTTTCTACTTATTTCAACTTCCATCTGCAAATTTTAATTTTATGCTCCTTTAAGATGCTTTCTTTTAAATGTCAGCTTTAATTTGTCTTCTCAGGTACTGTTTAACTGTTTTTCTGCTAATTTCAGTATTTTTTTAAGCAAATTTCACCTTTTTGTGTTAATTTCAGCTATTTTCTCAGTAAACGTTGTGACGGTTTCCAAGGTATCTCCTTTTATTTAATTTTTTAGTTTACTTTTATTTTGTAGGGGTGCCAGCCAGGTATCCCTC